GGACGGCAACATATTTGGTGGGGGTCGGAAAGTGATAACGACTGATAAGAGCTGATAAGAGGCGCTAGAACGCAAATTCACGAAATTCATAGCGCGCGTCCCAGCAGCAGTGGGGCGTTGGTTCCAAGAAGTGATGTGCAGGGTGGGACGGGAACATGTTTGGTGGGGACAGAAAGTGATAACGGCCAATAAGGACTGATAACAACGATATGTGTACGACTGTGGAGATAAGTCAAAAACACATTTGAAATAGCGCAATTCACTTCCATATCATTCTTCAGCAAAATTACCATTCGGCCGCTACACTCCCCCGAGTTCCAAAAAATGTCCGATGGATGTTTTAAGAAACATGATAATGAGTGCTGGGTATTTAGATTCAACATGCGTAGCATTGAAGATTGTTCGACCGCTAAATTATTTTGACATTCGATGCATGGTGGTTGTTTACAGACATCACTTTAGCTCCGCACTCCACCGCGCGTATCAAGCGGACAGTCAGCTAACGCATTTCACGAAGAATTTTATTTCGTACCGGTGGAATTTGACCCTCCACCGACTGTCCAGTTTCACCGAAGCCTTCGATGCCATGCACGCGGTAGTGTGCGGAGCTAAACTGGTTTATGTACATTGTTTTGTACAAAGTGACAACTCAAACCATTGGAAGACGTTTATTGTAAATATACAACACAAAAAGGACTCTTTACAATTATGTGTCCGCATTTTTTGTGGCTCATCCATGCCTTTCTGTTTTAGACATACTTGGCTATGTACATAATCATTAACATGCGTGGCATGCACACTTATTGACGCTCTCGATGTTATCAAATGTCACCTAAGCTCGACTGAAGCCGTTTGGACAGGGGAGCACCCGAAGTAAGCGTGAATATAGTGTTCTGCTTCACGTACAATGCGCGACGCATTGACGCGCTGAAGTGTGTGCTCGCCTCCACTTCTCGTTTTCTCTGCGCTCTCTCAACGAAGAGAGAATGTGTCAGGCAAACTATACTATGCGCCGTTCATGTAGGAAGTGGAGGATGGCACGCATGTCAGATTGGTGCGCAAGCGGCGAAACCGAACTGACCCTTCTTCATTTTTGGATTGCTACCTCGGAGAGCAGAGGTAGCCTAATTGTTTGCGAAACCAGTCGGATTGCTACTCCAAAAGCGCATCGATGCGACGCGCATTGTTTGTGACTGCGGGCGGAACATCATAATTTACGATTACTTCGGGTGCTCTCCCTGTCTAAACGGCTTATCTCCGTGAGCTGGTAGTGAAAGAAAAGAAATGAATCACTGTATGTAATAGGCATTTAGTAAAAGGTACAGTCCATATCGGGGATTTGGGGTGGGCGTGTTCACAGACGTTGATTGCGGGCAACACAAACTTGATAGTTGTTGCATCGGTCAACTGATTCTTCTGTATTTTGTCGATTTCCTCGTATTACTCGCATTTTCCGCTGTATTTTCTATATATTTATAGCAGTTGATACAGTTGAGAAAAGGCGAGTAATACGAGGGAATCTAGAAAATACGAGGAATCAGCTGACCACTGCGACAACTATCAAGCTTGTGCAGTCCGCAATTAACGTCTGTGGACAACCCTACCTCAACTCTTAGACATGGCCAGTAGGTCCTTGTTCGCAATCAGGACTGATTCAGAGGTGAGAAACAAAGGATAGGGAGACTCCCGAGCGAATATTCTATGCGAATCGACGAGATTCCTTAGCATGAATTGCGCTTACGGTCGTAATTCTGGTGTGTGCTGGTGAACTGATTGGATTTGTACTTTTGCCGTTGAGACATTGTTTCGCCAAATTTCGCATATCTCGATTGAGAACCACGTACACAATGCTGTTGCAGGCACCTGAAAAGTTTAATGATTTGCTGAAATCGATATTTGATAAAAGACAAGTCAAAAGGCGTTCGGATGGAGAGGGCTGCGCAAGAGTTGTGGTCACTCTGGACGAATCAAATGAGGGGCCATATTCGTGGACTTGGGAGGGACGATCGTATTTAGCGGAGTAGGGTCTTTTTCAAGAAGATTTAGCCGAGATCTGGGAGGAATCTTGTTAATGTTCGGAAACTTTGCTTTTTCTGCAGTTACATTTATGTATATCCCCTATTACAATATTTCAGATTGGAGGACGAGGCCTAGAAGCGGGGATCAGTGTTCTGTGCATCATGGGAGTAATCAAGAGGGGGGTCTCTCGGATGGCAGAAGCAGAATGCAGAAAACGAAGATGCTGCCGCGCCTACGTAGTTCCCGCGTCAAGTTGAATATAAGATGCACCATCGTTCCTCCACTACATCGCACAGCACGTGCTGCGACTCGTCCGCTGACTCTGCCTTCTTGCCGAGCCTGTCGTGTACGCCCCCCTCTGTCGTGTGCCCCGCTACTAGCGACTATGGGAGGTTAATGTTGGAACGGGGTGGAACGGGGTAGGGGGAGAAGGGCGAATCTCATAGCTACTTTTTTGCAAGCTTTGAAAGATGTGTGAAGGGGTCGAAATCGGAGCACTTGCCGTTTTTTACAAGGGAGGGGGGGGTCCTTCAGTGAAGACTGTGCTTTTTCAGCAATGTTATGAATACGAAGACAACCTGAACATAAAACTATCAGACGTTGTTTTGTATTAGCGAAGCGGTATGGCAGTTCGAAAATGTGAGTTACAGAATTTCTATGATGCAATGAGTTTAGCAATCTCTAAGTGGCGTCCAAATCTTTTGCATTCAAAGTTGGTGGTTACTTGTCGGCCTCAACATGGTCCTGATTATGGGTATAACATCTGCTTTTGACATCTAGCGCCATACGAGAACTAGCAAACGCCAACCTGAAATGCAAAGTTTAGTCGCCACGGGAGATCGAACCAGCAACAGTATCCATCACAGCCTCGTACCACTTGTTGTAGGTGGCCCCTTCACGTGTAATGGTATGGGGACTGCTTTGAGACTTCATAAGGAAGGAAGGATAGGGAAAAAATTAATAGAAAAAATTATACACGGGTCACGCCTGACCCAGTTGGAGTTTATGACCTGCTAAACTACTTAAAATTCAGCATTAGTCCCCTGCACCTGCACAAAGCAGACCAACAGAGTAGAATGGGCCAACGGCCCGGAATATGGAGTAACCGAGCATTTCCACGAACGACAACAAACACTTGGCAATTTTTGGAACGATTCATCAGCAGAATGTCAGTTGAAGAATTCGCAGAAAGTGCGATTGGCCTGAAATGCAGTCGATAAGAAGTGAGCCATTAAAAGACGCTGAATCAACTTCGTTTTTGGGGCCGCGACGAACACGTTAACGACATGCAGTCATTTGTGAGCCTGAACACAATGACTTCAGGGACAAACCACTACACAATTCAGCGCACTTATATTACACGGTCCAATCCGATATCAGCTGATCTGAAGGAATTCATAGTCCTGTGAAAAGCGTATTTTCAATTGGGTCCCGGCACACGTATATGCGAATGCGCCCTGTTGCCAAAGAATTTGTCTAGTAAAATCTAAGTTGAGCTATGTCTTCTGGTTTCCCAACACGCCTACGATGTACCGCGGTGCCATGGTCAGGGATGCAGCAAAAAAAAGAACCAATGCGTCACGCCAAACATTCGCACTTTTTCAAACTTTGCGACCTCCCCGACTGCAAAGTGGACACAGCCCAACTCCGCCTACTTTCTTTCAAAACGAGGCGTCAAGGAGGGCACATCCCATTTAAAACTCTTGTAACCCCCGTTCCACTATGATAACTTGACCTCAATGGGACCCCTACCCTAATCACAAATACGACCCAAATTCGAACATGAAACGAATGGCGACCTATGGGTGCAGATAAGCCTCGTGATTCGTCTACGGTACTACGGGGACGCCCCAAACTTTGCTCCTCCCTTAGTCTCAAAACTCTGTACTGCGTCTACTGGGCAAGTTGGGTAAGAGGATGCGGGACCCTTGTAACGGCACTTTCAGCTTTTTTTCAACGGCCCCTGCGTCCCCTCCCCCTCACTTCGGTCTGTTCGCGCTATCCCCAACGCTCACAATCTTCACAAATCCCGAATGCGACTCCCTCCTCTCATCGGAGCTGATGGCACCCCTATCCCCTGTCAAGGAATCCTTGACTATGGCTCACCCTACCTGTCACTGTCTGCTCACCCTCTCTAGTCACCAGTCACGTCGCGACCAATTTTGAAATAGGCTACTCTCGCGGGGCTCTCCTACAACCCTCCATCCTTTCCCCACATCCTCCGATCGTTGACAGTGTCGAGAGACCCATCAAACAGCCACTTATGGTGGATTCACACAAAACTCCAAAAGTGCTGAGGAGTAAGGGGTGGGGCAGCTGACCCTGACCTTAACCCATTAGACCCCATGTAATTCTTTTGATCACCTGTGTGAACATGCTTGACTCCTTGACAGATGGTTGACTGATTCGCCTCATTTCTGAACGTCTTTGCATCAAATGAAGCTTGACAATAAGGAAGGTTACCAGTATGATCACCACAAAGCCCATCACCTAGAAAAGAAGCGGAGAATGGATCGAGGAGGTCTCTTACCCAAAATCAGGCTTATACCATATTGCTATTTCCATGTAGTACCGAAACTCTTTGCTAATGAAGCATCCAAAAGCTCCACATTGAGGTGATCTATGAAACGGAGTGAGAACGAAATGCACAACGAGGTCAACAGTTCCCAGTAGGCAGCCGATTAACAGGCAGTACATCGCATATTTGGACGCAGGAAATTTGCGATAGGTGACAGGAAATAAGAGAGCCTGAAAAGAAAACCTCGTAGGTGACGCATATCACGCATTCGACACACGTGCTAGTTTACCAGCGTTCGCTCAAGGGCTATGGCTATGGTCAGTGTCAGATTGATCTTCAGCTGAACAACAAGTGGAGTGCCGAGAATCAGCACGTAGTACGGATCCATATCCAGGTGCGTCGGATTCCAATTCGCTGTCAAGTATACGGTGTAAGGAAGAGCTGAAGAAAAATGAATCTTAAGACTTTTGGAGTCTTTGCTTATTAACACATTGACGACATTGAGACGCGGTAACGCGTCTCACTTTGCGCACCTCGTTGGACATTGAGACGCGTTACCGCGTCTCACCCTTATCATCCCTTTTTCTAGGGCATGCGCAGCTTTTTCCCGAATTGTTTGTCTCTCTTCTATGGATTAGAACATAACATTATTGTGAACGACATAGGTCATTGTTTGTTCAAATATGCTCCAGTTTAGAAGAAGTTTTCCAAGCTCACCGAAACCTGGCGGCTTGGTTCATTAATAGTTTTCATGCTATTCTCATGAACACGTCAATAAAAAAGGGTAGTGAAAGTAAATGCAAATCTAAAGAGACAGAAAAATACATGTTTCACTTGGTATAACCACATCAAAAGAGCTTTTGGCATCCACTACAGATAAAATGACTAAAGTTTCCTTTTTCATTACCATTACATGTTCTTTAATCGGAACTTCGTCACTATATACTCTATTACCTTCTACGCATTGACTGTTACTGAGATGTTTTTGTACCACTGGTGCTTTAAAAAGTTATCAATAAAAATTCACGGATCCGAGGTGCGGCGGTCGCACTCGCAAAATCGGCCCGGTCCCACACGGCCAAAAAAGCCAAAACGCGCGCGGTCGTCAATGTGTTAAAGACACATTCCACGTTCACCTTGATGTGGTCGCAGCACGCGAAAATACAAGCTGGGGTGAAAATCGGACCACTGGAGACGAATGAATGTAGAAGAAACCGCTATCGGAAGATACGGGGGCATTTTCAGAAAAGCCCAGTGGGAGGAGTATGCAGGAAGTTCGGAGAGAACGAGGGGTATGCAGGAAGTTCGGAGAGAACGAGAAATGCCCACGCAGCCTGGAGTCTCTCCCCTCCCCAGCCTAAAGCTCAGTCTCGTTTTTACTAAATTACGTCGTCTACGCGGGTTTTAACGCACTCCCACGTAAATGCCCCCCCACATATTGCGATAGCGCCGAAATCGCTAAAGACGCAGGAACTAAGCTCCTTTTGGGCGATGGACGAGTAGTAACAAAAGGGTGGCTCCTCTCTCGCATGGTAGTCAAAAGATGGGGCCATATTTGTGGCGAAAGGGCATCCTACTCTCGGGAGACATAGAAGAAAATTTTCAGGGGATTTTTTTTCTTGACGAAATTTGGGGAACGTCTAAGAATATCACAACTTTCGTCATTTCGGCTTGTTTATATACATGCACTACTCGTCTCCTCCCTAAGTCTTTCTCTGAACGAAAGTGTGTCAAGTGGTACAAGATTGGACAACT